CAGTCAAGAGGAAAGAATGTTCTTTGAATGTTGCTATTCCAATTCAGCAGGGTAGAAACTGCAAAAACACCACAATCACTAACCTTAAATCAAATAACTTTCATGCTTAAAAATTTAATTTAGTACGCAGTTTGATGTAAATTATAAATCTACTAAGGACATGATATGGTTACAAAGTAACAAGAGAACCCTACTCAAATTTTTGGTTTAGGATCATGGTGTTGACATAATTTGAGCCACAGAAGATATAAATGCTGAGTTTGCATATCATACATTTGGCACAAAACCTTGGAGATATTTCGAGCATCCATGAATCATGAAAGCATTCTCACATACAGTTATGTACACACAAAGACGCCTATATTTACTTGTTGAATTCATTTTTCATTCAAAATATGAAAGAGGATTATGAAAAAAAAATTAAAAAAATGAGAAATAAAAACATACCTTTAAAGTGAAAGCTTTTGGTTATCTATCACACTTCATAGGATTCAGTAGTGTGGCCATGGACCTCCTGTGTTTTCTCTCCATGGCATCATCTGATAATTATTTGAGCCCTGTAAAAAATAAATAAATAAATAAATTAAGAGGTATTCAACTCGGAAAAATATTGCAAGAAGGAGAAACGTGGAAAAGAATTTGAGCACTCGCTAGATTAGCTTTGATAAATTAAATTAAACGTACCTCTTCTCTTCAAAATCTAGAGCCTTTTGTGATTGCAGTGTCCTCTACCAGATCGATTTCACTGGAATGTGGGAAATCTTTGGCCATTCAGGGCCCCTCTCTTCAGCGCATCTTTCCTTCAATTTGGAACAACGATAAATTTCAAGATATTCTAAGTTGGAGAGATGATGCATGGCTTTAGCAGAAGGCAGATGCGTCAAATTATCACAAAAAAAAATCCTGAGCCACCGAAGAGAAGAGAGGTCTCCCAACAACTCTGGTAAAGTTTCCACTCCATTGAATCTAATTATAGTCAATTGCTGGAGGGCAGTGAGATGTCGAAGCTGATGTGGCAGTGACTTTAGTTTATCCCATCCTTGCAAAGTCAAATCTTGGAGGGAGGCGTGGAGGTGATGGATGGAAGAGAGCCCTGGGTATTCTTCCAACTCAGACCAGAAAGGACCCATCCATAACCTCTCCAAGCACGTGAGCCTACTTAGGCACTCCTCTGGAATGCTCTTCAATTTGTTCCACGAACGAATGCTTAAAGAAGTAAGAGAAGAGAGGTTTCCCAACCACTCTGGTAAAGCTTCCACTCCGGTGAATGAATCTATCTTCAATTCCTTGAGAGCAGTGAGATGTTGAAGCTGATCTGGCAGTGACTTTAGTTTATCCCATCCAACCAATTCCAACTTTTCAAGGGAGGCGTGGAGGTGATGGATGGAAGTGAGTCCAGGGAATTCCTCTAACTCCGAGTAGAAAGGACCCATCTGTAATCGCTTCAAGTGAGTGAGCCTACCCAGGCACTCCTCTGGAATTCTATTCAATTTGTTACATGAATAAATCGATAAAGAAACCAGAGAAGAGAGGTCTCCCAACCACTCTGGAAAAGCTTCCACTTCGTTGCAATTGTGTATCGATAATCGTTTGAGGGCAACTAAGTGTTGAAGCTGATGTGGCAAAGACTTTATTTTATCACATCTGTTCAAAGACAAAACTTCAATGGAGATGTTGGGATGAGAGATGGAAAGTCCAGAGAATTCCACTAGATTGGAGCACTGGTCAATCGTCAAGTCCTGGAGAGAAGTGCAGGTATCTAGCCCATTTGGTAGATAAACTAGTTCTGGACAATCAGTAATTGATAATGTTTTAAGAGAGAGCTGCCCATCTATGCTTGGGATTGCCACAAGACTCGAACAACAAATTATATTCAGCTCAGAGAGCTTGTGGTGAGATGCAAATCCACCCATAGACCAAGTCTTCAACTTAGGACAACTCTGAATTTCCAACCGCTCAAGGCAAGGAAACACAATTACTCCTTCTATTTCTGCCCATTCCTCTAGGCTTCCCATATTGCCTATACTGAGATTTGACAAATTCAAGGTTGCATATTCTCAATGTTCCTCCAAGTTGACTCAAGCGTCCAAGTTCTTCAATATGATATCCCTTTTCTTTGCCCACAGCAAATAATGATAAGGTTTGCAAGGAAGTCAAACGCCCAATATTTCTTGGCATGAGCTCGTCATTGCTAAAATAAAAATGTCTTAAACTGATCAGATTTTCCATTCCATCAGGAAGCTTTTGAAGACAATAGCAATCCATCAATTTTAAGGTTTGCAAATTATACAGCTTGGAGAAGGATTTTGGCAGTGCCCTGATTTCAGTGGCTGAGATGTCAAGGTATCTCAAATGCTTCAATTTGCTTGGAGAAACTGGCAATTTATCACCATCTGCTTTCTCTAAAGTTAAAGACCGTATGCTTTTAAGATCCATCTTTGACATGCTGCAGAAATCAGCCTCTAAGAACAATGAATGCAACTTTGGAGTAACACCTCTCAAAATAGTTGGATCCACTACTACACTAGATGGGACCCTCAGATGTCGAATGCCAGATTTTTCACGGATGGAATCATTCTTCAAAATAAATGCTTCACCTTCTGAAACTAACAGGGCAAGATCATGCACTGCATCATGCATCTTGAAGTATTTGATGTTCCCATATATATCCCTTTCTACATCTTGAAACAAGCAGTTAGATGTCAGATCAATAACATACTTGTTCCCAATATCTTCCATCATTTCTTGACCAGATGAACAAAGAAATCCTTGAGCCATCCAATGCTGAACTAAATCATCTTTTGCAAAAATAAAATCTTTTGGGAAAATTGAACAAAAAGAGAAGCATTTCTTCAAATGTGAAGGCAAATGATCAAAACTTAGTTTAAGTACAAATTTTATCTGATCAGAATCTTCTAAATTCCAAAAAATTTTATCTTTAATAGACAACCACCCATCTACTCCCTTTACATTACACATTGTTCCTCCCAAAACATTTGCAATTAATGGCAGGCCTCCACATTTTTCTGCAATATCCCTACCAATAGCCTCGAACTGCTGATCAGTTATAAATGCCTCTGTAGATCCAAAAACCTTCTCTTTTATTATCAACCAACAATCATCATCTGATAGCTTTTTTAAATGATGCCTATCCAAAGGAAGATACCTGGCTATGGATGATGCCACCCCTTCTATACGAGTGGTTACAACAATGGAGTTCCCACTAGTTTTCACAAATTTTGACAAAAGACCACTAAAAGTAGCCCAAGTATTGGAATTATCCTCCCACACATCATCAAGGACAAGAAGAAAAGTTTTCTTTTCTAACTTTTCCTCTAGTCGTTT